GGAGATATTGAAAGGTAACATTGATTGGTGGTCGCGTTCCTTAGCCCATCTGTTTACTCTGATCGATCAGTTTGGTATTCTTCCTAATTCTTGGCTGAGTGCTGTTGTCGTCCCGATTTTTAAGAAGGGGGATCCCAACAACATTGGGACCAATTAGCTTGCTTTCCATTTTAGGGAAGCTATACGCCAAACACCTGCTTCTCAAATTGTCTAAATGGATGGCAGATCAGAATCTCCCTGGACGAGAGCAAACCGGTTTTACAGAGAATCAATCCACTCTTGACCATTGCACCACTCTAGCTTTTCTAGCTGAAAAGTACTCTCGTCATCTGCGCAGTAAACTTTATGTAGCTTTTGTGGATCTCCGTAAAGCTTTCGACTCTGTCAATAGATCTCTATTGTGGGACAAACTTCTCAAATTAGGGATTGACAAGCGCCTTTTATTCCTGATTCGGAAGCTGCATACGGCCAATTTTTGTCAAGTGAGGTTTGACAATAAAGGCTCCCTCACCAAGGAAATAAGTGTTTCTAAGGGGGTTAAACAAGGGTGCGTCCTTGCCCCTTCACTTTTTAACCTTTTTATTTCTGATTTATCATCCTCCTTGGATAGGGTTAATGGCCATCCGCCTAAATTAAACATGACTGCAGTTCCGGTTTTGCTCTACGCGGATGATGCGGCCATCCTTTCCTTTACAAGGATTGGTCTCATACGCTCTCTATCCGAGTTTAATGCTTACTGTTCCCGGAATTGCCTTTCCATTAACTTTGACAAGACAAAAATATTGGTTTTTTCTAAATCATGGAAATGTAACCATTGGTCAATAGCGGGAAGAGAAATACAGCAAGTAAAATCCTTCCGGTACTTAGGAGTGCTATTTTCATACAACTTAAGCTGGTGCTCGCATAGAGAACACTCCCTGACTATGGCTAAGAATAAGGCTGCAGCCCTAATTCGGTTTTTTTTCCAAAAGGGCAACCAATTTGTACCGGCTGCGCTTAAGATGTTCCAAGCAATTGTTATATCTCGTCTGCTATACGGGATCCCTGTTTGGATCCAGTCTTTCAATAAGAGAGTTGAGAGCATTTACTCCAGCTTTTTGCGTAGGATTCTTGGTGTTTCCAACTCAGTGTCACTCTTTGCTCTTTACAAGGAGCTGGGTCTTCACTTGGTAGAATCTCGGGCTTGGATCATTACGATCAAATATTGGATTCGTCTTTACTTTTGATCTCCCCCTGCTAGCCTAATGGCCCAACTTTTAACTGACCCCTATATATCAGAGTGGTCACAGGCCATAGTAAAAAAGGTGGGTACCCTAGGTATTGACCTGGAATCCCTCTATAACTGTGGTGAGGTCGCAATCTTGCAGGTGGTCAAGAGGAGAATGTGGGATATAGAGGCGCAGATCATTAATGCCGGTAGTCTTGGGGTCTGCTCTCCCTATTCATTACCCCTCCTTCCCCTACATACATCCATGGTACCTTATATTGCTAATCTGACAATCCCAGTTTTTAGGAGGGTTTTTATGCTTGCAAGGTTCAACCTTTTCCCTTCAGTAGTGGTCTCAGGTAGATACAGGGGTGTCCCGTATAAGGATAGACTCTGCAACTGTAATCTTGGGGAACCCGATTCTGTTACCCACATTCTTTTTCACTGTCCTAAATATTCCGCTATGCGCAATATCCTGATTCGTCCTCTCTTCCCTATGCAGAGAGACTTTCTGGATAGGGACTTATCTTTTTTCCTAGCAGACAAGAGTCCAGCAACAACACTATCTGTCGCAGAATTTTTGACCTATGTATGGAAGTCACGAGTAATACTTTGTAAATCTTGTAAACCATGTTAGGACTGTTTTGTGTTTTTTGAGATATTGGGAATTTTGATTGATGTTGTTCTTTGTACCTACCCTTAAACTCTCCCCTGTTTGATTTATCTATGGTATGCCAAATAAAGGTTCTCTGTTCTGTTCTGTTCAATTAAATAAACAGGATTTCAAGGTATTCAACTTGGATTGGCTGTGCCCTTTGTGTAGTATAGTGGTTAAAGTAGTGGCACTCAGTGGCCTAGGAGCCCCAGGTGGTTCTTTGACAAGCCACTTGTAGTTCTTTTAAGCACTATTCCCAATGTGGCACCTACCCCATTTCCAGGAATGTGGACAAGGCCATTGCCCTTTTTTTCCATCTATGCCGAGCCCGGCAACTGGACCCTTTCCTGTTGCGCACTGACCTGGCCACAGTAATCCATGCAAATGTCACCTCCAGGCTAGATTACTGTAACTCGCTCTATGCTGGCCTGCCCTTGAGACTGACCCAGAAGCTCCAACTGATCCAGAATGTGGCGGCGTGTGTCCTGACAGGTACACCTTAGACCACACATTCGACCTGTGCTGCTGCAGCTGCACTTGCTTCCAGTGGAGCACTGAGTCAAGTTCAGGTTTTGTTTTTGACCTTTAAAGCCTTGAGCAGTCTGGGACCAATGTATCTAGACCGCATCCTCCATTACACCCCCGGTGTAAGTTATTACACAGAATAACTTACTGGTGGTCCCTGGCCCTAGAGAAATCTGGCTGTCCTCAACCTTCTCGGCCTTGGCCCTCACCTGGTAGAACTCTCTGCCATATAACAACAGGGCTCTGCAGGATCTCATGCAGCTCCGCAAGCCCTGTAAGGCAGAGATGTTCTGCCAGGTATTTGGTTGATGACAGCAGCAGTTTACATCATGGCTAGCACTCTGCCTTACCTGAATCTCCTGCTCCTCTTGGGTTATTCCCTCCCCATGCCCATGAAACACTCACAATCCAGGATCAGGAGGGCACTACAAAGTATAAATTCACCATTTGTTTTACCTGTGTATAATATTTTGGGATAGTTTTATGGCTTCATTATTTTAAATTTCTCCATCACCTAGAGACCTGCATTTGTGGGAATTAGGCTAAAATATACTGGGTTCGCCACTCGATTAGTGATCAGCTCATACTTTATTGTGAATCAGCTCAAACTAAGGACAAACTAGCAGGACCGAAGCCCTGCTTAAATCCATGCACAACACCACACACCCCACACACACTACCCGTGATAAGCGATTTACAGTGCAGCTCCTGGTCTATAGGTTCCTTCCAGGATCCTTTTGTTGTTCAGTCGCACAGTCGAGTCTCGACCCCATGGACCATATCACACCAGGCCTTCTGGTCTTCCACCATCCTCTGAAGTTTGCTGAACTTCATGTTCGTTGCATCTATGACACTGTCTAACCATCTCATCCTTTTGCCGTCCCCGTCTTCTTTGACCTTCAATCTTTCCCAGCATCAGGGTCTTCTCCAGTGAGTGCTCCCTTCTCATTTGGTGGCCAAAGTATTTGAGCTTCAGTTTCATTATCTGGCCTTCCAGGGAACAGTCAAGGTTGATTTCTTTTAGAGGATTGACTGATTTGATCTTCTTGCAGTCCAAGGGACTCTCAAGAGTCTTCTCCAGCACCATAGTTCAAAAGAATCTATTCTTCGGCACTCAGCCTTCCTTATAGTCCAGCTCTCGCAGCCATACATGACTACTGGGAATACCATTGCTTTGACCATGCGGACTTTTGTTGGCAGGGTGATGTCTCTACTTTTTATCATGCTGTATAGGTTCGTCATCGCTTTCCTCCCAAGGAGCAGGCATCTTTTAATTTCGTGGCTGCTGTCACAGTCTGCGGTGATCTGGGATTCCAGGAACGTGAAGTCTGTCACTACTTCCTAGCTAACTATTGTTCTCTGTTTCAAGCTAGGCCCGTCAATGCCGGGCCCAGAACATAACACCCCTCCTCCCAAAGTTCAGAAACACCCCCCCCCCCAAACATAGTCTCTCAAGTTTGTGGGTCTGTGTCATTCGCAGTTTGAGCGACGTGGTTCTGTCAGTGGGGCTGGGGTTTCGGGCTCAGGTCCCGACGGAGCAGCCAAGGTGCTCGGGGGCAGTGGCAGTGCAACCTCGGGGCCGTCTGTGGCTGCTTGTTCCAGCATTTCTTCTGCGGGTCCCCCTGGTTTTTCACTGGCCACGGGTTGCACGCTGGCTGCTGGGACCCCCCTTTCAGCCTCCGGCTCCTGTAGGCCTGGCAGCTCCACGTCATCATCGTCTGGGATTGCTGAGAGCAGACCTGGCTCAGCTGGGAGGAGACGGTGGTGGAGCTGGTCAATGTGCCTCCTAAGTGAAGGAGAGTGTACTGGTAGCCCGCTAGGAAGATAGACTAGCGTAGCACCCTGGGAGATAGCATCTGAGGCATTTGGCGGTCTGGGGCCAGCATGCCCAGCAGGGGTTTATGATCAGTCACTATGGTGAAGGGCCGCCCATAGTGGTAATTGTGGGATTTCTTAACTCCTGCCATGATTGTCAACACCTCCTTATCTATCTGAGCATAATTGCATTCAGCAGATGACAATGTATGTGAGTAATAGGCCACAGGAACCTCCTACCCGTATGGGGATGCATCGCAGGCAAGGATGACGGGCAGTGCTTCGTCAAAGTTTGCTAGGATGGCGTTCGAGGTGAGCAGCTTGCTTCTGGCCCCAGATCCAGGGGGCTTTTAGTTAAGAAGCTGGTGCAGTAGCTCCGTGATTGCAGCTTTGTGGGGCAGAAACT